AACTCGTACACGTACACGAGCGCGCGCGCGACGTTACGACACCGGATCACCGCAGCGCACCAAGCAGCAGCGTCAACCGCGTTTCCGGACATCGGCGACGACTGTACACTGTACAGCGACAGTAACGTACGACAACCGACGGCGGAAGAAGCACCAGCCAGAACAAGCTCAGCGCAACAGTTATCACTGCCACCGCCACCACCCTCGCCGGCCCCGCGCACAGGTAACGTCTATTTCCCGCCGCCAACGCCATCGTCACCTGTCTCAGGCGCGCGCGCCATTTTTTCAAAAATTAAAAAAAAAAAAAACAAACAAAACCAAAAATAATAATATGCGCCCCACTGTGTTTTTATTATTGTAATTTGTAGGTGTTGAGATATTCCCATTATATTATAYTTATCGTTATTAAAAATATATGTTATATTTTTTAGTAATATRCACAATATACAGTAAAACCTCTCTAAAGAACATAACGGAATCGCTTGGTACCAAACGGTTTTTTTCGTCATGAAGAAGTTTCCGTTATACGGAGACAAAAATATACGAGACATATAAGTTAGGTTCCGGTTAACTATTATTGTTATTTTTCGATGTGAMGAGATTTATCCGTCTTACTGGGAGTCCGTTGTAAAAAGGTTTTACTGTATAATATTATCATTATGCGATTAAAATGTGTTTCATGTTTGTTTTTATAAAATGCTATATTTTATTTTCTGTGATGCAATTGCGCCGACGATTGTTATCGTGGTGGAAAATCGAACATTTAATTTTTTTACGCACATCTCGCGGTGTTAAAAGCGAGTTAGAACGGCGTGAACCGTTATGGAATTTCACATAAAGCTCATATTATACAACCAATAGGTTAARTTATTAATGTGTTATAATAAATACTTTTATGTGTWACTACGTAACGTTGTATTCTAACTGTTATTTTACAATCGCCTCACGAATACGTTTGTGAGACGAGATCGGAACCAAACAAGTTGACTGCGAATGCCTTTAGGTGGATGGGCACTGCAGCAACACCAGCATTTTATTATAAATTATGACAAATTATTGTGTGAATATCGATAAAAAATTCATCATAAGTTGTCGATAGCTTATTTTTTATTTGTTTAATGCAGTATTGTTTACGGTTCGCAAATTTCGCGTATATAGCTTATAGCCTGCA